AAGCCCCTAAACCCCAAAACCCTCTCAAGGCCCTAAGCCCTCGACCCTGAAGCCCCCTAAACCCTAAGAGCCCTAAACCCTAAAGCCCTGAACCGTAAAGCCCTAAACCCTAAAAGCCTCAAAACCCTAAAACCCCTTAATTCTAGAGCCCCTAAACCCTAAACCCCACAACCCCCAGTAACCCTAAAACCCCTTACCCCTAAAACCCCTAAAGCCCCCAAGACCTTCAAACCCTAAATTTCCAAAACCCTAAAACCTCTAAACCCTTAACCCAAAAGCCTCTAAACCCTGAATCCTAAAACCCCTACAGCCCCTAAACCCTAAAGCCCCTAAGCCCTCAACCCTCAAGCCCCCGAAGCCCTAAAACCCCTAAACCCTAAAGCCCCTAAACCCTAAATGAGAAAACTTAAGAAACAACTACGAAGCCCGGCCTGCTCGGCGCTGTCGGCCTTGCTTTCCATGAAAGCCAAATGCCTTCGGTGAGGTACCTTGCGGTTGTGCAGCGGGTTTAGGCTTGGGGAAGACCAGCACTCTCTATCAGGAACTCGTAAGCTGAAGGGATCTTCTCAAAATCACCTTTATGCTTCACACTGGTCTTCCCCTGCTCTTCCAGCTTTATGCTGGCTGCAGCCTCTCCGCTAAGATCTATCGGCACGAGCAATTTGCTCCTGAAAAACTGCCACCACTTGGCGGGATCCTGGGGTTTTGTGAGCACATCTGCCAGCTGATACGCGCTAGCCAACCATGCCAGGGGAAGCTTGCTACTCCACTGCTCTGACTTCAGAGCTTGTCGCAACGCCGCTAGGTCTACTGCAAGCCTACGGTCTGACGGAATCCTCGGCATTCCTTGCTTGTGGACATGATCATAAAGGGATCTACAGTCGCTCAGGCAAAGGAGAGGTATCCGGCTGCTCTCGACCCGCACGAGCTCCCCGCCTGCCAACGTCTCAAAAAGTGCTCGAACATGTTGTCCGGCCTCCACTCCTTCAACGCAGGCTTGCGTCTCAGCCGAGAACGTGCTTCGGCACACCCTCTGCCCGGCCTTAGACTTCCAGTCCAGGACACTGAAGTTCCCCCCTTTTCCAATGACGCACCCCTTCTCAGCGAAGACGATCAACTCCCCGAGCTGCGAGGCGACTTTTGAATTCTGTCGTCTTGCCTTTCTCGCATCCCTTGTAACGAAGGGGCCCTCCTGTTGCAGTCCGGCCAACTTGTCCTCCGCAGTGAGTTCGAAGCCTGGCTCCTCGCGCTCGGTGTCCCGAGCATTGGCCCACCCCGCATCGTGATAGATGATGACGATGAGCTCGCTCGAGGGGATGGGCTTGAACCTGAGCCCCTCTTCTCGATGGTCGTAGGCCTTCTTGGAGACGAGGTTGGTGAACTTCAGGTCGGCGAAAGTCGGTTGCTTCTGGACCTGCTGCGCCATGCTCACGGAACAAGTGAGGTCTGGCCTGGATTGTGCTGACAACCAGGAGAGCGCGCCCACCAAGCTGCGGTTGTCGGCGATGAGGTCGGGGCCGGCGCAGTCGTTGTCGTCGACTCCTCGTGGTATGTCCAAAGAGAACAGTCCGCTCTCAGCATAAGCTTGCTGGGACAGCACGACCTCGTCATCGCCGAAGTAGATCTCCGACCCCAAGTAGCTGAAGAGCTCGCTCTCCCACTCTCCTACGGGGAAGGCTTGTCCAAGGGCATCTTCTATGAGCTTCGAGACCGAAGTGCTGGCGATCACCAGAAGGTCGTCGACATGCGTCCCGACATATAGGACGCCGGTGAACTTCCCGTCCTGGCACTGTCTGAGGACGAAGATGCAGGGGTCCAACGGGCATTGCTCGAAGCGATAGCACTTCTCGTCGATGTCGACGCTGATCTTGCCGATCCCTTCCTGAAGGTCAAGCCACCACTCGCGAGGGCTCGTGGCCAACCCGAAGATATTCTTCTTCACTCGGACCAGTTGTCCTGGTCTCATCCCCGTCAAGAAGGCACATTGGATATCTCCAGCCGAGACTCGCCAAGGATCAGGTTGCTTGAGCCCGTTCGCCAGGAGTTGTAGCAAACAGAGCAGTCCAGGCCTCGAAAGCGTCGGGGCGTCTGTAACCAACCTGCCCGGACCTGCCCGAAGCCAAATCGGGGTCTGTATGCCCCGCTATAACGAGGCGTGACTTACAGCGCCACTCGGCCTGCCCTTCCAACCTCCTCTTCGACCAATTTTTTGTACGCCCATCGAGAGCGCAACACTCTCTCCTTCGGAATGGTGTTCTTGACGTGCTCTGTGGCCGCGTCATCGAGGGGCTCCAGGGCATCGAAGTGCAAATGCTCGTTCCATTGCTTCTCCTCGGCGGAACTTCTGCTGGAATTGCTGTGGGATCTCGTCCCACCGCAGCTCCTTCTCCTGCCTCTTCTCTAGGCCCCATCTGGTCAGATGGCGCCTCATCATCATCACACTATAGGAGAGAAAGCTATCTGGCCCTTTCCAGTCGACGTCCTCTGGCGGCGTCTTTCTCTTCATCCGAGACAATGGCCACCCGCGCTTCTCGTCCTCCCGGGTGTCGGTGAGGTTCTGGTTGTTGCCGGCGGCGTCGTCGTAGGTCGGCTCGAAGACGACATCGCCCTCCTCGTCGTGGTCGCCCTTCAGGGGTTCCTCCTCGTCGCCGTGGTGCTCCTCGATCATCTCTTCATCCTCAGCGGGGTTGACAGAAGGAGAGTAGAGCGAGCCGATGTCGTCGATGCCGTTGGCCTCGTCGCCTTCCTCGCTGCGATAGGCCTCGTCATCATCGAAGTCGGTCTGGAGGAGTTGCTCCAACTCCCTTTTGACACCATTCATTGCCAGAAATTCCCCTGTTTCGTCAGGGCCAGACGGTCGAAGGTGTTCCGGTGCAGTCAGCCTGCAGTTCTCAAAGGGCCTTGTCACGGCTCTTGCGCGCTGAAGCAAAGCTTTGCGAAGTTTCGCATCGTTTTCTGATTTATGAAAAGCGATGCGAGCGCTGGCCCTTATGGCCGCCTGTCTCTGAAAGCGGGCATCATCGGAGATGTCAAAGGTCACGCGGCCACCGCTATCAGGATCAAGAACATCCTCGATGGCGCGGCCTTCACGGCCAAATATCCACGCAGATGGCGAGTGGCCACAGCGCCTTCTAAGGCTGTTTTTCGCCCCACTCACCAAAGTCGCTGCCAACTGCGCCTCGTCGGCCTCAATCGAGAGCTCCTTGCACACGCGGGCCCATATATGTTTCCACCACTTAACCTGTCTTTCCCCCACCCCCGATTGGAAGTGAGCTTGGGTCGCTGAGTTGCGGATTTTCACGTTACGCCAGCTGCATAACCGTGAAAAGCCGTCTTGCAAGCCTGTCTCGAGATCTAGAGAGACGGCATGGGGCGCGCCAAACGGCGTTACCCAGTGGGTGTTGAAGGCCTGCTCGACCTCCTTGCCGCTGGTGTTCCGGAGCTTGATCACAACGCGGTACGTTGCGCCAACATCAACCAGCGAAAGGAAAACATGCCGTTTGTCGTTGCAGTCGTGGGCGTAGAGGATGTCGGCAGCCACAATCTCCTCAAAGGTAAGCATCCGTGGCATCGTAGAAGGACGTGCCACCTGTGGATCCCGAGCGGAGTCGCAGACCTGGCACTTCATCCCTTTTGTGGCTTTTATCACAGCCGACTCGCATCCAGAAAGTCGGAGATGACGCACGAGGTCGGGAGTCCTCGGGTGTCCAAGGTTCTGGTGGAGCCTCTTAAGCGCAGATCGCACATGTCCGGGGACGCCCTCCTCGAAGACGATTCCAGAGCCATCGATCCGCAGCGGCTTCTCCTCTTGCTTGCTTTTCGTCTCCATTTACGACCAGGACATGGTGGGGGTCGAGGTTCCCGGGCAGCTCGAGATACTTGTTGCCGGGTCTGGCGAGCACTGTCCAGTCCTCCCCCTCATAGTTGTTGTTGTAGCGCTGGTAGTAGTCGGGGTCGTCAACGATTGAGTTTGCTTGCCCGCCTTGTAGCACGACCGCTCCTCCACCTTCGAGTTGTTCTCGAATCAAGATTCTGAGGTCGTCGTAGACCTCGTCCGGCGCTGCTGAGGTGTAGATGTAGGTGTCGTGGGGTCACGGCCTTCACGAGATGGAGGGTGTTATCCTTAACGCTGGTGTCGGCCAAACTCGCTTGCCTCTAAGGTGGCAACGAATCCTCCAAGCTCCAGGACGACGATCGGGTCGTTGATCACCTCGCTTTGCACTGCCTCGCAGATGAAGGAGTTAGCCGCCGCCACCAGGGTGGCAAAGAGAACGCTGAGCTTGCCGATGGTGTTCGTGAGGTAGTTCCGCTGCTTCTTGGAGGGTCGAGCACCTCCGCCGTTAGCATCCCGCTTTTTGCCCTTGGCGCGAGGGAAGCCGCAGTTCTGGAGGAACTTCTCCGTATCGGCACAGACATCGTGCGCTCCGCGCGGTGTGTATACGCCACCAAATGCCAGGCGTCTCCGTTTGTCGCCATTACGTGGCGCTTGACGTGGGGGTCGAACTCCACGAACTTCTCTTGGGAGTCCATGAGCCTTCCGGGGAGCCATTCCTTCGCCCCAGTCCTCCGCCACTGGATCGTGCCATCTCCATCCATGGCGACGTCCTCCTCGTTGATGTCGCGGTCGTGAACCCACAGCTCACCTCCTTCCTCTTGTCCGAAGGAGGCAAAGTAGTTTCGCGTGCCAACCTCGTTGTTGTAGTCGTGGCGCACCTTCACCGCTCCGCCCTTGAAGATGCTGAGCGCCCTCCAAGTGGCAGGGTTGTGGGTTCTGACGAAGCTGTTGAGGTAGCGAGTCAGGGCAGTGTGATTGACCACTGCTTTGGTGACGCCACTCATCCCGCCGTACACATACTGTCCAAGGACCACGTTGTTCTTGGCACCCTCAACAATCTTCCTGCTCCCATCGCCTCCCTTGAGGGTCGTCTCGAAGCCCTCGTTCAGGAGTTCCTGGCAGGTGCTAAAGGAGAAGTCACCGGAGTCGTAGGCAAAGTTGACGTGGTCTTCAAGGTGAACTCCTTGCACTCGTACACTTGCAGGCCATCGCCCTCGTCCGGAACGTCGTGGAACAAGTCGTGGTCTCCATCGGCCTCGGCCCCGACGATGTCGCCCGGGTCAAAATTGATCACGCAAGTCTCGTGCCTATTCCTGTAGGCCTTTACAAACTCCAGCTCGGAGAAGAAGCAATCGCGGGGAAGCTCCGGGCAGCAC